TAAAGAAAATGAAACAAATAAAGGAAATAAAAGAGAAGTAAAGAATGTTCAAACTCAGTTGTTGGTTTGGCTTCCCCGATAACGGTGCCAATTTTTGTCTCGCCCAAAATTATTAACCTTTGGCTAAGCGGTTGTTGAAGCGTAGCTTTAGGTGTCGAATCCATAGAGAAGCTGATTAAACCAACAAAAGGAGTTATCACTAAGAGTGAATAACATAGAAAAATGATTTTCTAAAAATAAAAAGAAGAACAAAAATATTTGAATAAAAGTAACGATGATTAGAAGATGAAAAGTAGTATTGTGATGAATAAGGATTCGAGATTCACTTGATCGATTTGCTTAACTGGTTTCAACTTTGATTCCTATTTATTACTCAATTGCAAGTTTCACATCCTAAACAAACAATCGGAAAATATAACATTGAAACCAACGACAAGAACAAAAGTATTTGTTCTGAGAGAATTAATTTTTGATAAAGAACAGAATGATCTATTCTTACAAGCTACCCAAGAACGACAACATATCAGATTGACAGTATTACAGTCAATGATCAACTCATAAAATAAATCTACCCAATCAATTATTTTCTAACAAATTGCATATAAAAAGAGTATGACTAATCTTATAGGGAAATTGAAGAATATAACTTCAGGGTTTATCAAAATGATAAAATAAATCTCTCAATAACAAAATTAAACATTGAAATCTCTCAAGGAATCAAAGTAAAATAACAAGTAAAACTCATCGATCAAGATCCTCCTTAGCCTTGTTGAAGCTTTGGCCATGCTTGGATGCCATTCTCCCCTATTCTCTTATGTGAAAGACTGAGAAAATAATACCAAAGTAACCTCTGGAAGTCATCCACCTTTTAGGTTAGATTTTTCCTTTTTATTGTGTTGTCAGGCTCCTCAATCTTCTCAGCCCGAATCCACGTCTTATCCCTCAATTTTCGCTTACATAGAGATTGATTTAGAGAAATCTATCAACAAGTGAATTGTAGCTCTATCTTTTAGATGTTCATAGCCTTAAGAATCACCGAATTTCAACATCTATAAAGAAAGATATGCCCAAAATACTGGACTCTGACAGAGTAAAACGGGAAACGAATCAACACTCATACTTGGGCCATGGAACTTGGGTTTGGGTTTCTTGGACCTATGTTTGGGCTTTCCTCCATTCAATTATTAATTATTTCAGCCCTAAATATTGCACAAATAATAAAATTGACATTTATAAAATTATTATGGAAAAATATTACTTTTAAACTCTTTATTTTACAAATATCAATTGTTGAGTACACTTTAAATATACATTTTCATGCTTCCGCCAGCCGTGCCGTGGGCCTGGCTGGTCATGGGCTAGGCCAGGCTAGGCCAACCTATGAGAAGTCCATTTTAAAAAAATAAAAAAGATGTTTACATTTTTATTTCATATGATCTTTGATGTATACAGTTGTTTATATATACAATTAGACCTATTCATGAGCCGGGTAGCCCAACAGCCCGACCCGTCCTGACCTGTTATTTTTTAGGCTTAGACAACATTTCAGGTCCATGGGCTTGAGTTTGGGCTTTCTCAAATAAGCCCAGACTGGGCCCGAGTCCGATCCAATACTTACATATATAAAAAGTACTTATGTTATATATGATAAATAATATATATATATATATATATATATATATATATATATATATGCTTCTTTAATTATTAGTAAATATCAATTTACTATCAGGAAATATAAATTATTTTATTAATTTATTAAATTGTTACTAAATTAATATAATATTAGGTTATAAAAGTATACTGAAAATAAGGCATTTTGTGTACAGATCGGGCTTCGGGCTTTATATAAGGGCTGGGCTCAGGCTTAAGATCTAGGCCCAATGGTTGGGCTAGGCTCGGGCTTACACATTTTCTATTGATAAAGAAGCTCGTGTTAATTATAAAACTGTGATTCTTTACAAATAGTCTAGTATAAAAAAATATATAGCATTCTTATATATATTAATATAATTTTTTATTTAAATGTTATATAATAACATTTAACATATATGCATATGATTTTCAAGTTGAGCTTATTAGGGGTTGTTTAGCTTGGGCCCTATTTGCTAAAGCCATCATTGGACTCCAAAAGTTTGATACCCAATTAGATTACTTTGAATCTTGATGGAGGGTGATTTGACCCGACCCCTTGAGATGGTGACACGTTGACACGACTCAACACAAGTAACAACTCAACACCACAGCCTAACCGTGACTAAGTAACGAGCTCGCAGGACAGCTCGCTACAGCGCGAGCTCGAGGACCACCAATATACTGAAAGGGAATACTCCAAGACAAGTCTATCCCAGCTCGCGAGCTAGGGCAACCAACTTGCTCCAATACTTAGGCAGAAAAACTGCCCCAAAGGCAACCTTAAGAGGAATCACCTCGAAGTACCCCTAGGAGTTCGCTACAAGGTAGCTCGCGACTGAGAGATGCGATGTTTTCAAGAAGCTTCTATCTGACAAGACCGTACCCGTCAGACTGCGCCACGTCTCCTAGCTGACGGTGCAGTCCCTGCCAATTCGACAGACTGCACTCACGTCTCTTGACAGATGGTGGTGTGCCTGTCCTCCCGGGACGTGTCACTCATCCGATTGGGTAGTACCCTGCAACAGTTACCTGCGCAACCTTGGCAGATAACGGCTGCGATAGAGGCCCAGTGGCGGTTATGCCCGATTTGACAAGAACGCCCATATTTAAGAGCCCCTTAGTCGAAGGGGAGGAGGTATCTTGCACCTTGTATCTTGAATCTTATCTTACTTGAACTTGCTCTCGAGCTAATCTCGAGCACTCAGTGATTTAGCGCGACCTACACTCTTAGCCTTCTTTACACTCTTCACTATTTTCTCCAGCGTTCTAACTTAAGCATCAGAGTATTCCCACCGAGCAAATCCCCCGGGAATTCTTCGCCGTCTTCTTCTCAGGTACCGTCCGTTGCCAGCTAGGAGCCAGTCAGCAGCCAGTTAGGAGTGCCCGGATTGCGCAGCATCAAATCTGATTATTAAGTTATAAACATTTGTTACTTTTTATCAAGTATTAAAATATTGTTAGCTATTAAAATATTGTAATTATTAAATTATTGTATTTATTTAAAACACATTAACTTCTGGAAATTATCATATTTTTAGAAGTATGGCTAATTTCTTTGCTAAAACCAATTAAATGTAAATTTTTGGTAATTAAATATAACTTTTTAGTAATTAAATGTAATTTTCTACTATTTATAGCTTAAATTGTAATTATTATTGATTATAGTTTAAAAATAAGTGTTGTTAATTATATTACTATTAATAAATAAAATACATTATTTTTTTATTATTATTCAGTATTTTTTGCAATAAAATACAATTAATTTAATTTTTTAATTATTTTTAGTATTTTAATTAAGCTTTAGGTTTTTCAGATTTTTTGGATTTTTCATTAATTTTTGGTTTTTTTTCATTATTATTCAGTAATTTTTGCATGTGAGTATTTTTCAATAATTTTCAGTATTTTCAGCATTTATTTTTGCATATTATTCACTACAAAATAAATTTGCATTTGCTTTTAGTAAAAATAAATTAAATAACTAAATAAATACCATAGTTAATAAAAAATACAACTAATTTTCAATATTTTTCAATAATTTTTGGCTTGGATATTTTTTAATAATTTTTTTTAGTAATTTTTAATAAAAAAATACTATTAAATGTACTTTTTAATTATTTTCAATAAATACCCTTATTAATATAAAATATTGTTAATTTTCAATATTTTTAATTATTTTTAGTATTTTAATATGTTTAGGTTTATTAGAATTTTCTGGATTTTTAATTAATTGTTGGTATTTTTTCATTATTTTTCAGTAATTTTTGCAATAAAACACTATTAATAAAACTAGTTCTACATTTTAAATTTTCATTTAATTTATCATTTTTAATGAGTTCATTATGCACAATAAAGTCTCATCTCATAAAAACTATTAATTACTTAAAAATGTATTAATACAAAATTATCTAATAATATTATTAAAACTATCAATTAATATTTTTATATTTAACTTTCTTATTTAGTAAAATGGGTTCTGCATTTTAAATTTTCATTAATTTCCATCATTTTTAATGATTTCATTATATATCCACAATAAAGGTCTCAACTCATAAGTTATCTAATAATATTATTAAAAATATGAATTAATATTTTTATATTTAAATTTCTTATTTTTATTAGCATTTATTAAGTTTTATTTTTAAGTGGAATACTGGAATTGAAACACATTTTTAATATTTAGTAAGTTTTGTTAATATTTATTTTATTGAAAGTTTAATGGATTTTTAAATTAATAATTTTTTTATTATTTAACCTCAACCTACTTATATTATTTGATTTATGTTATTACTATTCTCCCTCTCTCTCTCTTAAATGTAATAATAACATGCATTAAAATAAGTGGCTTTGGAAAACTCATAGGTCTCTAATAATAACATACATTAAAATAAGAGGCCTTAGAAAATCCAAAGGCCTCTGTGGAGCTTTATTGATTCAATCAAAATATACAATGATTACTTTTTTATATTTTAAAACAAAAAAATTAAAAAAATTAAAAAAATAGATAAATAATTTCTCAAGGAGAGACATGCTTACATATCTCACTGAACTGGGCTTACTCATCGGATTACCCGGCCCAAGAACACGTCTATTTGCGTATCCTCTTCTAAATAATCACTCAGTGTTTGACTGTCGAGGAAAGACAAAAGACTTCAATTGATTACCTACATATCTCACTGCCGTTAATATTTCAAAGCTCACCGAAGAGACCCATTTTTCAATGCGCCCAAAATCTGAAGCGCGGTTAATTATCATACTCCTCACCACCCTCCCTAAGCTCGGAAGTAGCAAAAGTGCAAAATTATGACGAGGTGCAGTTAATACCGACAGCGTGGATAACCAGATGCCCTGGTCAAACTTCCTCCGCGTCGTTTCATTTACTTATTTACCCTATAACCCTATATAACTCCTCTTCATCTCCACTTCTCTGGCACAGTACAGTCACCGCCAACCCCACCAGTAGCTGCTGCTCCGTCAATATTTCTCTAACAGGCAAAATAAGGCAAAAGGTCCTCACTATGGTTCTTCTCAAGCTTGCAGACAGGCTCTTGTACCAGCTCTTGGGAAACTCGTATTACAGAGCAGCTAGGAAGATCAGAAACTATGGCTTCTTCTTGAGAAATCAATCGTTTAGATCATCACAACATGGAATGTTCCCTAGTATTACCAGGTGTAGTTTGGAGCGTAGGGGTTCTGGGACTTTGGTCTGTGACATTCATGGTACCTTATTAAGGACCCAGTCTTTCTTTCCTTATTTCATGTTGGTTGCTTTTGAAGGTGGTAGCATTTTTAGAGCCTTTTTGTTGCTTCTTTCATGTCCTCTTTTGTGGGTTCTGGACTATGAACTCAAGTTGAGGGTCATGGTGTTCATCTCCTTCTGTGGTCTTAGGATGAAGGACATGGAGACTGTGGGAAGGGCTGTTTTGCCCAAGTTTTTCCTTGAGAATCTCAACCTTCAGGCTTATAATGTTTTAGCTTCAACTGGGAGAAGAGTTGTTTTCACTAGTGTTCCCAGAGTAATGGTTGAATGGTTTCTCAAAGATTACTTGGGGGTTAGTGATGTTTTGGGCACTGAGTTGCATAGTGTTGGTGGCTACTTCACTGGCTTTCTTTCTGAGTCTGGGTTGCTTGTGAAGCATAGGGCACTCAAAGAGTTCTTTGGAGATGAAAAGCCTGATATTGGCCTTGGGAGTTCAAGTTTGCGTGATCATCTCTTCATCTCCCTTTGCAAGGTAAGCTTGCTTTGACCTTTTTCAAATATAATTCAAGTCAATCATGATAAGAAAAATATATAAAAAGATACATATAGAGACTGCAGAATAATGGGTATGATAGATTTATAAAAAAAGTATTACAAAAGCCTCCCCCCCACAAAATGGGGAGAGAGAGAGAGAGCAAAAGTTTGCTTATATTGGTTTTCTTTGGATTTTGTATGTATATTAATGTAGGGATAGATGTTTGTACCGATGTATCTAAGTATCTGTTGATGCATGTTTTTGGCAGGAATCCTATGTGATAAACAAGGAAGATGGCAAGAGCAGTAGTGCAAGTTCGGTGGTGCCAAAAGAGAAATACCCCAAACCTCTAGTATTTCATGATGGAAGACTGACTTTCTTTCCAACTCCATTTGCAACTCTTACTATGTTCTTGTGGCTTCCACTAGGAATAACTCTAGCCATCTTTAGATTGGTTGTGGGTATCTTGCTGCCTTACAAGCTATCCATTTTATTAGGTTGTTGGAGTGGTGTTAACCTAAGGGTTAAGGGGTCGGACCCATCAATAAGGTCAGGCAAGAAACAAGGGGTTCTCTATGTTTGCAACCATAGAACCCTCTTAGATCCTGTATTCCTCAGTACTGCTCTATGCAAGCCAGTCACTGCCGTAACATACAGCCTAAGCAGGATGTCTGAGATAATTGCCCCTATAAGAACAGTAAGGCTGATAAGAGATAGACAACAAGATGGGAAGACCATGGAAAGGCTGTTGACTGAAGGTGATCTGGTGGTTTGCCCTGAAGGAACCACATGTAGGGAGCCATTCCTACTGAGGTTCAGCTCTCTGTTTGCTGAATTGACTGATGAAATTGTTCCTGTAGCAATGGCTGTTCATGTGAGCATGTTCTATGGGACGACAGCAAGTGGGTTCAAGTTCTTGGACCCCATCTTCTTCTTCATGAACCCAAACCCTAGTTACCAGGTTCAGTTTCTTGGGAAGGTTTCCCGACAGCTAACATGCGCCGGAGGAAGATCTAGCTATGATGTAGCTAATCACATTCAAAGGCAGATAGCAGATGCTTTGGGGTTTGAGTGTACAACACTTACAAGGAGAGACAAATACATGATGCTAGCCGGCAATGAAGGGGTGGTGTATGACAGCAGTAAAAGGCCTCGTTTAAAGCACATAATATCAACACTGCATGAAAGAGAACAGAAAGAGAAATAAATAAAAACACATTTTAAACTTTTTGTGATGTAGTTTTTGTCTGGTTTTATTTGGGGTCTAATATATTTACCAGTTACTACTGTTTATTAATGGGTTTTGATTGTTACTTTTATTTATTTGTTTATTTATTTATTTATTTTGTATCCTTGGTCCACTAAGTTGTGATTGATGTTATTTCTGCATGTAAATCAGTTAATAATATAAACTAGTACAACTTCTCATAAATGACTCTGCCCAACCACTTTTAGTTCTTCTAGTAATAAACCCATGCAATTCATGTTGTCCAATAGAAATTTGGTCAGGTTGGGTCTATAGCAAGGTCTATATATAGGGTTGATTTTGTGTTAACCCTTAACCCAATCTACCTAATTAATTCATATCCCTATTTCATAAGAGATGGTTAAATTAAGAACCAAGGCTAAGAGGGTTATTTTGTGATTTCCTGTATTTAATTTAAATTAAAAAAACCACATATATGAGAAATGAGAGAAGGTCTGAATGAGCTATTTTGTGTTATAGATGTTGGGCTCATGGATTACTTCAAGCATAAAAAATGGGGAAATGAAGAATATTTGATGTGGGGACACTAAAGCGACATCTAGTTAATGCGCATTCTCTCCACCACCCATGACCCATGTATAGTTTCTCTTCCCCTCCTTGCATCGATGTATGTAGGATGTGGGGATTTTTTTTCCATGTTTTAATTAATGGCACGTTAATGCAGGCATTTAGTGATGCATTAAATCATGTTAAGGACGTTGGTAACCAGCATGCAGCTGAGCCCTTGAGTCTGATGCTAATATCAGCCTTTCATCTTTCCACAATTATTGGCAAGTTCTCTCTTTCCTTCACTCATTATTTATTGTATTTTTTTGTCAATTTTGTTAGTTCTAGTGTGTTCTACCATTACCTTGATCCAAGCATTTTTTGAGTTTGCTTAGATGGCCAAGGGCCTGTTTGGGAGGGCCATAGCTATGTTTGAATGCTTTCACTTTCACTGAACTGCTTTGGAGAAGAAGTTACTAATTAAGAGAAGCTTCAGCCGAATTTTTTGGTTTTCTCCATTTTTCACCAAACATTGCTTATAAACATATTTGCATGGGCGCCCACAGAAGTGCATCACCACTGTGCATTGGGAACATCTCCCTATGACATGTATGATATGGGAGATGTTCTCAATGCACGGGAGTGATGTACTGTGGGGCACGTGGGGGGGTTGCAATATATATATATAACATAATATATTGTGGTTTATTCAAAAGGAGAGATCCAACCAAACAATGTCTAAGTAGAAAGAGAACTAAACATGAGTATTATAGATTGTGTTTGTTTGTAAAACATGGTGAAGACAATTAATAATCACCTCAATATGATTTCACCAAAAAAATTTTGATACACGATTAATTCTTCATTGCTTAGGGCCAAGAGAATGGTGGAATAGAAGACCCCAGATAGCTGGCACCACGATTGGGGAATGGCCTTTTCTAGGGCCAACTGCAGAAGATTGCTCCTTATCTGAATGATGAAAAGATTCATACAATAGAATATAGATTGTTTTTCTTCTCCAGGAAAAGCAGAAAAGTAAACTCATTTAACAATGTGCGCCACTCTTCAGGTAATAGATACAGCTTGGAATATGCTTTTGATCAATTCAGCACAAAATATGTGCTAAGTCAAATTGAAAACACCAAATGGTGTTGGGTCAAATCGAAACCACCAAATCATAACACCATAAAATTAATTTTGATGGGTCAAGTGTGAAGATGAGAGAACTGCAAGAAGTGTAAATTCTGAGCGATGTAATTAAACATTCTCATTTGCATTTATAGGGTTTGGATGGAGTATAGTTTTACACCGAAAATTGATATAGAATTCTTCTCAGGGTAGAGTTTTATATTGATAATTGATATAAATGCAACATTGACAAAAGTGATGTAAGGCTCAATTTGAAAGAAGTGCAAATATAAATATGTAGAGTGCAAAACCTCATATTTTGTATGTGTTTGCATTTGTACTTTTTTCCAAACTGAGCCTAAATGTTTACATTGATAATCACACTTTTCATTTTTATAACGATTCACAACTTTAAATCGATCGGTGTTGAACTTTATTGATATACTTTTACATCAATAAATATTTACATCTTATTCAAAAACAGCCTTTGATCAAATCCTAAAACATTGATCTAAATTTTTAGGAATTAGTAGGGTAAATGTAGCTGGACAAAGCGTAGGTTGCAAAGAGAGGTTGTCCATCAGATTGAAGGAGACTCGAAGATCATCTTCAACTGACTGCCTCAATAGCAAAATGATCACAGATAAACAAATCAAGTAACAAACTTGCTGCCAAGTAATAGATTTTCATACGTCGAATATGTGTTTGTTGCCTAAGTAATAGATTTTACACCAATTTCGTTCCTTAGCATGTTTAGGGGCAATTTCATAACTGCTGAAGTTGTTTAACCCACAAAGGCAGCCTATAAAAATTTCACCAAATTGACTTTGTCTAGATTCTTGGGGAAGCCTACTCTCATTTGTAGCTATTATGGCCTGGTTTAACATCATTCTTGACTACTTCTGTTCTTGAGGAAATTCCTGTTTCGGAACATGAATTCTATTTCTTGTTCTTAAGGAATAACATGGCTTGTTTGGCAAACTGTTTGGGTAGTCCAATTATTTCTTTAGATTAATTCTTCATATCCATACACATACTAAAAAGTAAAAACAGTATTTGGGCTTTGACAATATCATCGCTTTAGATGAACTTTACCAAAATATCATCAATATAAAAATATCTAAAACAATTAAAAGAATGTAAACCCGAAATCCTATCCAATGGAGCAGACGGGTCTGATTCAATTGTTAAGATCGGATGGATCACTGATTGAGTCAACAATTTCGTAATACAGTGAGTTAAAGGTTGATCCAAACCGGGATTGATACTAGGTCAGTCGTATAATCAGCCAGTCAACTACAGGTTGAAAACATTGACTATTGTAAATTAAGGGATAATGTGGACTGCAGTCCACCTCAGAAATCTGAAGTTGCAGCCCCCTCCTAGTCTACTAGTAGCCGCCACCCTCCCATAAACCGCATCCCGCCCATGAATTTGGCATCACTCCACGGGCAGGATTCAGTCCACCCCTAGAAATCTTAGCTCTCCACTCTAGAGGTGGACTGAACTATAAAAACCCCTATAATTAAATCCAACAGTTGGTGTGAAACCTACAAATGGCATCTGTTCATCCGAATTTAAATTTGAATTCAATCTAGTTAAGGGTGATACGAATTCGATCCATGTAATGCACAAATTAGTAAAGATAATTTGAATTTTGTATTTTTACTTAAGTGTCAAAGGTTCAAGTTTCATACAAGTTATTCTCAATTGATTTTATTGGTGGCAAAGTCATTTTTAAACCATTTTATTAAATAATATATAATACTTCTATCATTTTAGTTTGATTTATTTATATTATTCAATCCAAAATTGATTTGAATTCAACATAAATCTGGTGGATAAGATCTAATTTGGATTTGAATATGAAGAAAATCAAATTTGGATCTACCTATATCTAATTCGATCCTTTTGAAGCAGAAGTCCTACTGTTCTATAGATTGTGTAATTTATTTTCCATTTAGTGACCCTCAAGAAATTAAGGGATCGGCTTCAATGCTCACAAGATCATGTTCACGAGACTGTACGAATGATATAAGGACCAAATCCAATTTCCAGTAAATTGACTTTATTAAGAAATCATCCAGGTTTCAAGCCCTATTTGGGAGGGCTTCTTTGTTGATTGAGCTGCTTTGCTTGTATGTTGGTATTATATTGTATGTTTGGGAGGGCTTCTTTGTGTATGTTGATCTTATATTGTATTCATATATTTATATCGATGTTGAGTATGTTAAATATCTGGAATATGTTATAAATGTTGATCATATAGTGTGTTCATAACTTTATTATGTTGTAAATGTTGATTCTATGCGAGAATATAAAGATATGGAAAAATATTGACACCAAGGACACAGAGTAAGAGATAAATCAGGTAGAGGATAACAAAGAAATAATGCGTATAGATTATATAAAAGATCTTTTATAGCGTGTCCAATTACTAGAGGATGAGAGACAAAAAAACGTATACAAGACCTTAACTATCGTTTCCAAGTTTTAGAGGATAAGTGTAATGGGGACGTGCTACCCCAGGCTTGTGTAGCACCAAAAAAAAAGAGGATAAATGTAATGCTAAATTAATGATGAACCTGTAGATGTGGCCCTTACACACTGACATCTAGAAAAAAGGTCTGTGGATTAAGTTATTTCTTGCCAAACATGCGAGTTTTCGCATATTAGTTAATAAACTAGATAACATGTAGGGTTGTTCATAAGAATGCCCAATCCGATCAAAACGATTAAACCGGACCGATCCAATCTGAGTCAGCCGGGTTTTCATCCGTACTGGTCGGTTTCGAATTGGGTACATACATAAACCGAAATCTTGGGTCGGTTTCGGTTTTCTTGCATGAAAACCAAAACTAACCTGACCCGACCCTAACCGAACTAATATTCTATTAGTTTGGTAGTTCTTACTTCCTAGTTTGAGTAGTTTCCTAATTCCTAATAGTCTTCTACTTTTAGACTTTTATAGAACTAAAACTCTAGAAGACCCATTAGGCAATTACAATTAGAATTCAATTAAGTGTCCTTTTTTAGTTTTTTACCTAGATTAGAATTTAGAAGGTTTCTAAATTTTTATTTTATTGATTTACCTACCTAGATTTACCTAGTTTTTTACTCTATAAGGCCCATTATTGACACTTGTTTTTACATGAAGAATTTATTGTTTTTATTCTTTACCTAAATTAAATTTAGATTTATCTTGGACTCTTGAATATCAAATTATCAACTAATTCAGATTTTATTTGGCTTTGTACAGGAGCAAAACCAAAACCGACCCAACCCGACTCAAACCGATCAGGTCGGTTTGGCCTGTCAGTGGGTCGGTTTCGGTTCCCACCTTAGCTAACCCGACCAGGTCGGGTCGGTTGAGAAAATCCCAAGAAACCGACCCAACTCGACCCGTGAACACCCCTAATAACATGGTTAGATGATCCACCTCCATCGAAACTTAGATTCTTCAATCGAGTTGTAGTTTTAATTAGTAGTAGTAGTAATTGTAATTGTTGTTACTTTGGTAACAATCTTGAGATAAAGAAGAGGATAATCTTTTTTTTAATCTAGCTTTGTTAGTATCATGGTGCTGTTTTTACATCAATCTCAAGTAAAAAATGGATTTTATTTGTTTCGATCGACATCGATGTTGAATAAGTTAAGTATGTTGTGTATGTTGTAATTGACATCGATGTGGCTTGTGAAAAGTGTGGGTCATACTTCCATCCCCTAGGATACTTTGGGGGTTGGCTTGGCACAGCCCACGGCCTGAGCTGTGCTACGGGTTGGGTTGGTCCGTGGGTCGAGCCTTGGACTAAGTTGGGTCGCATGTTGGAAGGGTTAGGGTCTATCATATGGATGGCCAAACCATGCTAGATGGCTGGGCAAATTTTCAAAAATTTTTTTAATCCTTTTAAGAATTGAATTCCCTATGTTTTAAAAAACTACATTTTTTTCGGGTCGTTCGTTCACTGAATCGGGCAGACTTGAAACCAAACTTAGAGGGATATGTGTACCTAATACGGATACCACAAATCCAGATCCCAAGGTGAAAGTTCATGCCCAAATCAATCCTAAAACCATGCTTCACTGAACATGGCGTAGTGTATAGGTGAAGCTGATTCAATAACACAGTTTTAAGCAAAACTACAACCCAACTGCTTGGATCGAACTAGGGAAGGTGAGTATGAAATTCCTATGAATTTTTCTTGAAAAAATCAGAAGAAAATTGATCTCTATCAGTCCTTGATAGTTGATATTGAACTGGGAAAAAACTGAGAGACAAAAGGGTGCAGAGAGAACAAAAAACTGCAAAAATATAAAACTGTCTTGGACTGGTCCACCTCATCTTCTTTTGTAATCTCTTATAAAGCTATCTCCTAATCTAATTAGGAGATAATCCAAATCTAAATCAGATATAAACTCTAAGTAAAGATATACCTTATCTTGATTATGGGCCTTAGGCCCATCAACTATAAGGCTCACGATTCCAGAGTGTTGCTTAGCCCACTTATGCTTGATTTGTATGGCGTGGGACCCCACAATGACCTCACATAAGTCCATATGGGTTCAGCCCAGCCTCTATGAAAAGGCTTGGCCGAATTCACTGTTAAACGCAGTGAACCCTTGAGTACATTACTATGGGCCCAACATTTATAATTAAATGATCATTGAATTCAGTCATCCTATGAAAATCCAAGGATAATGAATTAAAGTAAGATAGATCCCATCAAATAATCAACCCTTAATGGTCACTTACACTTAACATCTTAGCCCATAATAATCAAATGCTACCCGACAGGGAATGACCTCTCCCCTGGCTGCAAGGTGCATTTCGGATGGATCTTCGGAATTAAAACATTTTCATAAAACATTAATATATATATATATATATATATATATATATTGCAAAATCAAATTTCAAAACACTGTTGAAATTAATTGCCTACAGTTCAAGTTTCCATTAGAGAGAGTGTAAACCTTATCATTCACTTTGTCCGACATAGGGGTCGATCCTATCACTATGATCACCCACTTAGGCGAATTCTCAGACTGCCTCTACATATCTAGTGTAGTACCATAATCAAATCTAGGGGTTATGTGTAATTTTCAGTTTTGTCCATCAATTTCCAAAGTCCAATGCATAACTGGAAAATGATAGTTCGGATTCATTGTTTCATCCAAACACACTCTGCATGTTCTTTAGGTCTAACCTTAGCAACTGAGACAAACTGCCTCAACTTCTTTGGTAGCACATCAATGTCAGCCTTGGCAGGATAAACTCTCCAAGTCTGTCCAACAGCTAAGAATATTTTAAACTAATACGAGTTTCATAAGTGTCCAATTTAAGGGGTAATTTCACAAAAACATGCTAATATCAACATGAAACAATAATATACTTTTATTCATTTACAATAAATATATCTATACATCAATATGATTTGAGCTAAGGGCATACACTATCTAACACTGCGAATTAGACGAATAATATATAATAGTTTAATTTATTTATACTATTCAATATCTTATGGTGACCCAAATTTGATTTAAATTCAATATAAATATAATGGATAATATAGACAAATCAAATTTGGATCTACCTATATCTAATTCGATCCATTTGGAGAGAAGCCCTCTTGTTCTATGGATTTTGTAATTTATTTTCCATTGACACCCAATAAATTGACTTGCGGAATCATCCAAGTTTCAAGCCCCGTTTGGGAGGGCTTCTTCGTTGATTGAGCGAGCTGCTTTGCTTAAACCAATTTGGAAAGGCTAAGATAGTTTCATTGGAAAGTTGACTTATCTGTTCACGTTCATGTTCATGTAAGTGTATTTCTCGCTTTCTGGTTTTTGACTAAACATGACTTTTACATTCCAGTTCTTACGTCATTTAAGACCAGAAGCCCTATATGAAAACCCTCCCAAATGGGCACTCAATTTGAAAGGACTTCAGCCATCGAAAAAAAAAAAAAAGAGAAACAATTGATTCAGAAAACCAAACAAAATAATTGAAACCCGGAATCAACCAGTGCCCCGCCCCACATACATTGCGAGGCCCTATATGTTGGCCCATAATAGAGCAACTTTTGGGTTTACTAATGGATCAGGCTAATCCAGCAACAAACCTACGACCCAATTGGAGCCCAACTCCATCCGGGGCTGGGCTAGCCATTTTAACCAAACTTAAAGTATCCAGACCGTTAAATACTATGTTGTTGATAATTAAATAATACTGTTTAAAATTGCACTCAGTTCAGTTCGGATAGAGTACAAATACAGATATATACAGTATAAATATATACAAAATACAAGGTTTTGCACTCTATATAACTGTATTTATATTCCTTTCAAACTGAATTTGCAATGCAAATCAAATTCATTTGTTTGTAACATTGATTTGCACTATTGCCTGATACAAAATATATACTTTTTGTCTCATTTGCACCACCTTCCTCTCTTTAATAAAATGGGACCAGGTCATCATGCTTCCTATCTCATTCCAAAACAATTAAACAAATAACCCTTCTATTTCTGTTCTTTTCATATAAGGTGGGAACGACATTTTGCTTTTTATATTACTTCTTACAAACCAAAGTCAAATATGAAACCAGTAGAAATGAGATCAATTGATCAAACAAACAGGGTCTTAGCACCACTTTATGAGAACCTAATGCAATACAATAGAAACTCTCTCTTGATTTTATTCATTGATGTATGCCAAACTTTTGCTCTAGCAATATCATAAAACAACCCTAGCAATATCACAAGAGAACTGTAAAAACGTAAAATAACCATTCCTTGATAGAGTAATGGGATTTCTACACAAATTATTAAGACTGCGTTTTGAAACGATGCAAATGGAGTGTAAATCCTGGTTCAGGGTAAATTTGCATTATGTTCATTTTTGCCTCTGGTTTGTAATATTACATTTATGCATTGACAAATGACAGATCAATGCATATTTACATTGATAATAAGATATAAAAGTACATCAATAAAAAAGAAGTAAATTTGCATTCAAGTGGGCTTTTGATTAAAAAAAAAAGCATATGCTTTATTGAAATTCATGTTTGCATCCATTACAGCTAAAAGTCTATTTGGTAAAAAGATAAATTTGTCAGTATAAAACTAACCCAATTTTACAATTTATTTAAACAATTTTACACTCTACATATTTGCATTCACACTTATTTGCATCATTTCCAAACACAACCTAAAAAATTACAATCTATTGTTCTGTGGATCAGCCTCTATCATCTTCCACATACAATGCCCATCTATCAATTTGTAGTTGAGGAAGCGTTAGCCCAACCTTATCTCTCTTATTGGGGGCCCATTACGTCAACAACTCAAGGGCGCACTGCGTCATCAACGGCGTTGTTGGTTGTGATGGTGAAGGCCAACTAGATGATGACTTATCAGACTGAAGTGGATTCCATTGTGTTTGAAAGCTCAAAAGCTGAAGAGTAATAGGATGAGCAGACTGTCTGAGCTGGCAATCCTAATGCATCCTCCACCATCCGATTGTGCCATGGGCCCTGCATGGCTTGATTTAGCCGTCTGATGAACCCCCCACTCAGCCCCTCACAATAATTCAACAGGTGTGCCATGGCAACGCTGTCCTTGTCATCATCCCAGCAAGTAGTGTTAGACTCCGGTGACGGCAACCGCAACCCATTGCCGGAATCTGGTGAGCGGGTGAACCCTGCTGCAATGCTTATGTACTCGACCATACCATCTAGAAGAGACGTGGGTACACTCTTCTCGCTGTCCCAAAGCCATACACGAGCCATGCCATGCTGCACCGCCGATTCCATTGCCTTCTCCACGTTAGCCTCCTCCATCACTGAGGGGCTGATGTGAAGAACGAACTCATCTCTGTTACTACACTCCACAACCACCGCGTGCGGTAGTTTCCGGCTGGCAAGCCTAACGGTGACACGGTCAACTTTCTTCTTGGGGAGGTGGTGGTCATCATCAGGATAGAGAACCCTTTGAGCAAACTCACTTGTGTTGAGGATAATTCGAGTTACCTTGTCATTCGAGACGAAGAAGAGTTCAAACCGACGTCCTGCCGGAGTATCTCCAGCTTCGTTGATGATAATGATCTCGAAGCCTTTTGAGGCTTCATAATTTGCCCATATTGAGATAAGGCCAATGAGAAAGAGTAGAACCAGACGGGGTATGATCGGATAACTGGACGAGGCGGCAGCAATATCTTCATCCTCGGCGGAGATGGTAGTCGTGGTGACGGTGGAGATGAGAGGCCGGAGGAGGTGAGGATCCTCCATCACTCCTTGAGGCATGTAGAGACGAGCTGGAAATTGGAAGATTGGGCCCAGAGAAGTTAAATCCTGTGAAGGGGCTCTCCAAATAATTGAGACAGTGAGGCCCCACTTGCAAATTTTATAGTTTATAATTCCAAGTTGATATTTTTAAATTCAGTTTCAAATAACTGATTTCATATATACAAAAGGACCATTCACATGCCATAAGAGCAGAGATGTGAGATTAACTACCCACCATCCACCAATCAATGGGCCTAAGCTAAATTAATAATAAGAAGAAAACATACAAAAACAAGGTCCTTGGTTTTTGGTGGGTTTAATTGTTAAACCGGATCAATTACCTGATTCAACTGTTCAACCCATGATCCGAGCAGTTTTTCAGTTCAACATCTGGGGTGGATTTGAAAACATCTAGGGGGGTTATTTTTTTGGATTTTGAGAGGGGGAAAATTGGTTAATGGGATTTTGGTTTTCATTGACCAAGAATTCATTGTTGTTTTTTCAGATTTATGTGGGGACTTTATTTTCCCGAGTAGGTGGATAAATAACTTTCTCACCTAGGAGAAACACTTGAATGAGACAAAAATGCCATTTTTAATAATGGATTTTTATGGCTAAAATAATCATTACCTTATTTACATGAGAAATAAAAGAACATGGGTAATGCACTTACACGGGTAAGTGTTTCCCAGGAAAAACTTACCCAGATAACTGAAAAACTATAACAGAATAGGGACAAAATAAAGTGCAAATAAAAAGCTGCAAATAAA